AGAATTTCTACTGTCATCCTAGCAAAACTTACATATTTGGTTTATTTCCAACTATATCGCCATGAAAGTGTACTGTACTGTAAGATGATAGTAACTTGCAGTTACTTTGTTCATCGGAAGTAGTAATATTTACCATGAAAACATTCAATTGAAGTAATATTACCATGAAAACATTCAGTTGAAGCTAAATATCATGAAATGAAGTTGCTTACTGTAAAGCTCAATGGCGTCGAATCAATACCAGGTTAAAGCTTTAAGCAGTAACCGTTAAAACCCTCTTTCAAGTAGAACACTCATCAATTTGGGATCCAAATGAGCAAGTGTTTCATTTGCAAGCAGATGAGGAAAAATGCACTTTTCATTCACCAAAACTATCGTAAGGGACTACTGAGGCATTGGTTTTATATTTACTTGTTAAATGTTTGATTCTCTTCTCCGACCTTTTCATCTCCTTCAACTGTATCTACATTTGTGCAATGATTCTTCAGAACTGTAGATATGTCGGCTCAGAAGCACCGGCAAGCTTGAAGTTTTCGACTGCGGTGTCGAGATTTTTTTTCCAACCATCAATTCCTATTTTGCATTCAACTTGAGATCGTTCAAAGAACATGTTGCCCCAGAAAAGATGTATTTGTGATCTCATGACAGCTGCCTGTTCAGCTACTTCCTAGGCCGAATGCTCACCCTGAATCACGGTTCCCGGTATCTCATTTTCGGCCGCGTTTCCAGGTCTCTTCCTTCTCTTTGACAGCTCTTCCTTGCTTGAATTTGGATCTGTCAACTCGTCAAGTCTCTGCTGCTCCAACTTCTCCCACATTTTTGTTGCATTTTTGTTGCATGTTTCATCTTCTCCTCCGCACTGTCGAAAAGTTGAAATGTTTCTGCAGGATCCCAGGTCGAGAGGTCTATTTTGTTTGCAAGCGCGACAGACCAATTAAGTTAGGCCATTTCGAATTGCTGCTGCCCCAATGCCAGCATCCCCTCGTAAAAGTCAGGTTTGATTAAGATTGCTTCGGCATACTTCTCTTTGGCCAAATAATACTTTTCCTGAACTCAATCGTAGGCTGTTTGAAGTTTTTCCGACACTAACTCCTCCCCTGCAGACTCATCTAACGGAATCTGTTTCCTTGCGGCACACATATAAACATTTCCCCAATTAAAGAAAGCCAATGCAACCACCTCCTGGAACTTGGCAGCAGCTTTATCGAAGAGAATTTGAGCTTCCTCGCTCGTAACTGTCTCCTCAAGAGCTTCTGAGCAGTGCTCCATTCCAAGCTCATGCAAATCAATATGAGCATCAGGATCGAGACCAGCATGGTTGCGGAAAAGCTGAGCAAACTCAAACAGCAAATCATCCATCTCCACTTCCTTGCACTCTGGATCCTCGGAAGCCACCATTGTTTTTCCCTTTGAAGCTTCTTTCTCTGTCTTTTCAATATCAGTATCAACACCTTCCAAAACAGATTCACCAAGGGATGAGTGTGCCAAACTTTCATCCGACTTAGTTACCTGGCTCTCCAAAAGTTTATCATCCTCTTCTTCTAGTAACGGTGGCTCCTGCTCCGGACTCACATCAACAATGTGCAATCTCAACATCCCAAATCCACTGGCTTTATCCGCATCAGACTCTATTGGAACGAGGGCATCTACGGAAGACTCGGCCAATCTGAGTTCTGTCGTGCATGTAATAGTCACCAAATCTCCATCATTATCCTTCTATGATCAAAACTGACTTGGACGAAGGAAAGTGTTTGCTCACAATCTCTCTCAACACTTTGAAGGCACAATTAAGTGGCATTTGCGAAAGCCTTATGTCATGATCATAAACAAGTTTCAACGGCCTCCATTGAATTGCCACCTCTGGTACCTGCCCACACATAGAAGTAGCAAAGACTGTTCTCTCTGGCCATCATTATTCAGATTATCAGTTGCTTTTGAAGAACCTCTAGAAGGCTTCAGCACAACTTTTGGAAACTCAATCTTGTTCCTAGAACCAGTTTGAGCTGCTATGTTTTTTGGTGCTTATCCGACTTATTACTTGGTGATACAACCGATCCTCGAGAAGGTGATACTGATGTCTTCTTAGGCACTGGCCGAGCAAGTAAGCTAGGCCCAAGGCCAGCAACTAGGGCACCACGAACAGCAGAAGCCCCAAGCGCAGCTGGCGATGGTCGACTATGGAGGTCCTGCTTAACCTGCAGGCAAGGACCCAATGCACTGCTTAATCTCCGAGCAATCTCCAAACCATCCTTGTTATTGGGTTCAGCCCCCAAAATAATTTGAACATCCTCCATTGCCATTTCATACTTTCCAACTGCCTCAAAAGCTCGAGCCCTTCGAAGAAGTGCTCGAACAAAGAGAGGCTGAACCTGAATTGCCATATTACACTCAGCATAATCAACGGTTTCATTTGCATCAAACAAACAGCTCTATTGCTGTGAAAGACGGCTCGGTCAGGGTGGGTTTTAGTGACAAGCTTAAGAGCATTATCATAGAGTTGAAGAGCAGCAACGTAGTCCTTATTTTGATACTTGACATTGCCTTCTTCTCTGAGCTCATTGGCTCTTTTCAAGAACAGAAGAGTCCAAATCAACACCACCATTAACATTATTACTGGAATTATTTTCAACTGAAACCAGGTTTGACTTTGAACCACCCTTCTTCTTCCTACCCCCTGATTTCCCCATAAAATGACAAAAAATTCAAATCTTTTGTTCCTCCGTTGCTCAAAAGACATAGGCTGAAGAATTCTATTCTAATTCTCATACAAAACAAAGTATAAAATCTTTGCAAACGATACTTGTAGTCTATTAGAAACTTGGGTCAGTGAGAGAAATGATACTTTCTGAAAACATAGTAAAGTTGAGAGCTTGCTAGCTTTCTAGCATTGATGATTGAACATGAGAATTGGGATTCAAGTGAGAATAAAAGGAGAGGAAATAAATAGAAAATGGGGTTTGGATTTGAAACCCTAGTGGTTTTAAGATAGCCGTAGCTGAGGGAGAGATCCATGGTTTAGACAAATTAAGCCCAAGTTGGCCTGCAACCTTCCTTTGCATGAGACCAAAAGTGGCCATGCAGTTTGCTTAAAGCCCAAACTTCCAAGGACAATTTGGTAACACAGTCTAAAGGGTCTTAGGTTTTAAGGTTCTTGTTCTTCCTTTCCGATTCCCAGTAGTTGTTCTCTCTGCGACTGCTACGAGCCAGGCTCGCTTGAGGCACACATTGTTCTATAAAGAAACTTCTTCAAAGTTCAAACTGTGCCCAACTGCCCTTGTTATCTCTTTCGAGCCTTTGGAAATTCAGTTCAGCGGCCACCCATCTGTTCTACCTTTTACTTCTTTTTTTCCCAGTATTATGGCTCTGAATTCATATATATAATATAATGTTCCAAAAGTTGTTCTTTTCTCTCTTTTTTGCTGGGTTCCATGCAAAGTTTGTTCTTTGGGTACCGAAATTTGCGTTTTGGTTTGATCCATTTTTAAGAAAATTTGATCCCATTCTTACTGTTTTTATTTCTAATATAATCTCTTCATGTTGGTATTTTGTCAATTTTTTAACTTCAATCATAACTTTCAACTTGTTGTAATTTGCTTTGATTCATTCTTCAAATAGATTGTATTGAAATATTAGAAAGATGTCTACTGAAGCACCCACCACCATGGAGACTGAAACAGTGGCATCGGAACCTAAACTCAAATCCAACTCACTTCTCCCAAAACCGAAGTTTGAGCCTCTGAAGGCTCATGAAATGTCCGATGGCCGAGTCCAGTTTCGGAAGGTATCGTTCCTCCTAATAGGTATTCACCTCTGAAGAAATACTGAATGGATATCTATACACCGATATATGAACAGATGAAGATCGACATCCGAATGAACCTTAAAGCTCAGAAGGTTGAACTGAACTAGATTAGATACACCCGATATCAGTAACCTACAGAAGTGTGCAGACTTTGTCCAAGCTTTCATGTTGGGTTTTGATGTCGTCATTGCCTTTTGAGGTTGGATGAGCTATATGTTGAGTCCTTTGAGATCAAGGATGTTAAGACGCTTAGACGAGAACACTTGTCTCGTGCCATTGGTAGACTGTCCGGGAAAGGCGGTAAGACGAAGTTTGCTATTGAAAATGCTACAAAGACTCGAATCGTCGTTGCTGACAGCAAGATTCATATACTGGGATCTGTTGGAAACATCAAGATTGCTAGGGATTCTCTTTGCAGCCTCATTTTAGGTTCCCCTGCTGGGAAAGTTTACTAAAAACTTAGACAAGTTACTTCCAGATTGGCAGAGAGGTTTTGATTGCTTTCGTTTATAATCTGTTGACTTTTGCTCTTAAATTTTGGATATTTTAACTGTTATGCACACTGAATTCTTGGGGGGAAATTGAAAAACAAGATCTATAGGATAAAGCATTTGTTAGAAGTTAAATTTGGGATGAAAATTTACTGTAATGGTGGTGGTATTGAATTCTAGGTGGTGGTAAATTTGCATTTTAGACTACAAATCTTTGAATTTCTGTCAAATTGATCTGAATATGACTATGTGAATCAAAGTCCAATTTTACTGCTGCAGCAGTAAAATTTCTGGTACATAAATCTGCAGTTAAAACGAAAAACAAGGATAGAATTTCAATTGATGAAACCAGAGTGCTAAAAGTTTTCTTTGAGTTGCAACAATTTTTTGCCAATTGTGTATAAACAGTTCAAATCAAATGGATAATCAAGTAGGGAAATTTCATGAGTAAAGTTTGTCATTGAGTACTAAAAAGAACAATGAAAATGGAGGTGTATGTCAGCTCCAAAGAGAATTCCGGCAGCCTGTTCTTCGTTGCCATGCATAATTTAAGAGGTTGTATCACCATTTCTCTCAAATGACTTTCATAACACCAAATAATAAGCTCGTATTTAGATGAATTTCTAGAGTGAGTAAAATGAAGCATGCATGATAACATGAGTGAGATTCCGATTTACTAACCGGAAGACTGTCCTCCAGATTGCGCATTAGCATTCTTCTCTGTTGTTCCAGCTGTCACTTGAAGAATCAGACAATAGATCAGTACCAAAGATTCCGGGATTAATAGCCGAAGAAATGAAGGCTTTCTTGGAAAGCAAGGAAGGAGTTAAAGGGCTGGTGGATTCCGGGATTACCAAGATTCCCAGTTTCTTCATCCGTCCTGCAGATTCCATGGATGCCACCTTAGCCGCGCAGCACCTTCAGATTCCGGAAATAGACCTATAGGATGTCAATTTTTAAGATGAATAAACTTATGTAAAAAATTCTACAAAAGGTCGCCAATATTGGCAATTAGATATCCATGGCGATAAGGCACATTGACCCACTGATCCTGATGAAGAACTTGGAGTCGATCGATATTATTTTCCAAAAGTATAGTTAAAAACGATGCATCGGTATGGGTGGATGTGCCTAAGGTCAGCTCAGGCTGAGGACATGGAGGATGATAATGGCATTGAATAAGAGCACGTTCCATGCATTTAATGCTTGCCAAGTAGTGTCTCCTTAGCCCCAAAACCTCCGATATCAGTTCAGATAATGTATCCTTCAGTTGCACTATGTGTTTCATGTACTCACTCGTTGCCTTCCTGCAAAAAAGCCATCAATAGTAAAATTTCTTCACTGATAAAATATTAGATACGGTCAGTGGCGGATCCAGAAATTTAAGAATAGGGTCCAAAATTTTAATTTTCTTTTCTTAAAAATAATGGGTATGCTTTGATGCTATGAAGAGAGGTTGGAAAGAATGATGTAGGCCTATAATCGGTCTATATGGTTGCTTCCTTAAGGGTCCATTCAAAGGCATACTTTTACCTGTTGTTGGGAGATATGGCAATTATCAGATGTACCCTATCGCATGGGCTGCTGTCGAGGGTGAAAGCGCAGATTCTTAGTCTTGGTTTATAAGTATAGTGGCATCAGACTTGGGATTGGATGATGGATTTGGCTACAACATCATCAATGACCAACACAAGGTAATTAAATTTACTTGATGCTAGTTGTTAGTTTACTGTTAACAATCTGAGTTGCTGTTGTTATATCACTTGCTGCTATATCTCAAATTGCCACTATAGTATTAATTGCTAATTACAATTGGTCTACAAAAAAACTTGTTTGTTTATTTCTAATGCAACATTCTAGATCAATTGAAAATGATATTTATCTGAAAACTAAAATTAGTTACAAGCAGTGTTTTGATATTGTTCTATGATAATTGAATAAAATCTAAAATTAAGTAAAATTTTGTTTGACAGGGTATTGAGATTGTTGTAAATGATGTTCTACCACGAGTAGAACATCGAAATTGTGCTCGACACATGTTTGCGAATTGGACTGGAAGGAAGAGAGCAAAAGCATATAAGTTTACCTTTTCGAAAATTGTGAAGTCCACGACTGAGAGAGAATGAGAGGAGAACAAAGACGCACTGTCAAAGATTGATAGCATACTTGCTACTGAATTGTTTAGAGAAAAAGAGAAAATGTGGACCAAGGCATTTCAAATGATGAATGCTAAGTCAGATATAGTGGACAATAATTTATGTGAGGCTTTTAATTCGAGCATTGTTGATGCAAGGTATAAGAACATCATTACAATGCTTGAAGAGATTCGAGTCAAGATAATGACAAGAATAGTTATAAAGTAGAGATTCTTGACTATATGGAAGTACAATTATGGGCCACTAATCAAGAAAAAAATTGACATCATGAAGAAAGACAACATTCAGTGGAGAATGATTTGGAATGGAGATAATGAATGTGAGGTAAAGAAAGAGAATAAGTAGTACATTGTAGACTTGAATGAAATAACATGTACATGTAGAAGGTGGCAACTATGTGGGATTCCGTGTCTGCATGCTTGTTGTGTAATATGGCATACTGGTGGGGACTCAGATGAGTTTTTATATTCCTATTATCACAAAGACACATACAGTAAAGCATATAAATATGCTTTGCAACTTATTAATGGGCCTCAAGATTGAAAGAAATCTAGAATTGGCCCTGTTCTTCCACCTGTTAATAGAAATATGCCTTAAAGGCCTAAAAAATCGAAAGAAGCAAAAAATGAACCAAAAAAAGTCAAGTCTGGACATATTAGTAGGATTGGTCTTATTATGACTTGTAAAAATTATGGTGGACAAGGTCATAATAAAAGATCATGTACTCAGCCTAAAACTGTAAACTAGGTATTTAGAGTTAATGTGTTGAGTTTGGTGTAAAATTTAAAGTTATGTTAGATTTTTAAAGTAGACTTTTTTTTGTTGTAGGAGAGCAATATGGATGAGAATTCTTCAACAACATCAACAAGTATGATCGTATCAAACCCAACACACATATCAAGGAAATGAAAGGAGAAACAAAAGGCCCATGTTACTTCTAATAGATCAATGAGGAAAAAAGATACGAAAGGATAGGCCTTTACACAAATTTGACGACTGGAGAACAAACATTCTATGTAAGAACATATTAAATAAGTAATAGTCTTTTCTTCGACAAATTAAATAATGTTTTAATTTTCTGATCTGTTATCAGTCTGGTACAAGTGCATCAAAGAAGAGGAGAAGAGCTGAGGACCCTATGGGCACTCATGAATCAATAGCACCAAATAAGAATAAATGAATTGTCTGATCGAGTGGGTCTTTTGTTGTGCTGTTTTTTTGTTAGGGTATATGTTTGGGTTGTGTTTTTTTTTGTGTATGGAAAATATCTTCCTAACTTGATATGAGATACCTTTTAGCACAAATATTTGTATTTGAATTGTTAAAGAGGCAAGAGCCCGCCCCTTAAGATTATCACATTACTTTTCTAGCTTGTTCGATTAGGCCAATCCAATTTTGTTGGTTTCTTCAGTTTAAGCAGTGGTTAAATAATCGAATACCTGTGATGTTCTGACATGCATGTCAACTAAAGCAAAGGCTGAGGTTAAACTTAAGTATTAAATAATGAAAACTTTAAACCTGTAAGTAGAAAAATTCATTTTGGGTATTCTTCTACGAGCATGTGGTGATGCATATTAGTGTTTATTGTGCCCTAAGAACATTTTGGAAATAAGAAAATGTGAAGGTAAGTTATATATATATATATATATACATATATATATGAAGAAAATAAAGTTTTTTAATTAACTCCTCAAGAGAATAGAAAACACTAAACTTAGTCATTTGTTCTTAATGAGTAAAAGTCAAACATTTAATAATAGACATATATAAACACTTAATCTTTAACAAAACACCTAAAGTGCTATTGCAAGTACAATTACCACAAAGATACATATAACACACTCCATTGAGCAAATACACATTATCTTATATTTTTTTTTCTTTCTTCATTGTTTTAGATTTTTCCTTCAAGCTCTTAATCTTTCGTTTTAATACATTTTCATTGTATTTACTTTGCATACTTCCAATTTCTTTCACTTTGCTTTGAACACTTTCTCTTTCACTCTCTTCCAACAACACACTATTCATTTGAGCAGTAGAAGTAAAAAGAACAACTTGTAATATGTCTTCTAAGTCTTGTATTCTCTTTCGTTAAATTTCACTCACTATCACGTAATTTTCGTAGTAAGTAATTTGTTCGCTATGGAATGCTACCATCATACCATTCAAAATACCTACAACCGTGCTACAATAAGGGGAAAACATATTTGTTTTCAATCGGTATATGCAATAACACTTTATTGTACATGCATTCTTTATCTCAAGCTAACTAATACAAAGTCATTATAAACATATTCTTACCGGAAAATTTGAGCAACCGTAATACCTTCTTCCGGGGTTTAAATCGCTCCATGAAATTTCCCTAGGTGTCAATTTATTGCAATAACATTTTTTTGGTTCACCGTCGTACACGAAATGTCATCGAGAAGAACTAACGATGGTTGGAGATTTGAATCTGTCCATTAGACAATTTTTACTGAAACCCAAAACATACAAACAAGATTAATTATTAAATTAAATCAATTCACAAAACAATGTTCATTTCGAACTAAACCAAATAAAAACTAAAATTTATGCGTAAAACACAAACCCATATAATAAATCATTTTGAACAAAAGTATGCAATAATGTTCAAGAACTCTGAACAACCCATTCATACAATCTACAAAACTCATTCGAAACCCGAACAACCCCAAAACATTTATCAAAACTTAATTGAAAATCCATTCGAAATTGAAGAAATAATTGATGCTTCGATTCAAAAAAATCAACTCACCTTCGAAATATACGATTGTGTAATCGGATTGAAGCTGCTGCTTGAAGGAAAATGAAGAATTTGAGAGGAGAAATGATTTGAAATATTGGGGTATCTAAACTCTAATATTTTGGGAAAAATCAGTTTGAAGATGCCTGTGAGATATTTAAAACGCTTGTTTCATTTTCTTTAATTAAATTGAACATTTATTATGGATTAAATAAGGTTTTGTTTAATTACAAAATTGAGTAGTATGCTTGGCATGGTGGCAAAGGGCATCTCATTTCACGTCTTTGCCCCAGGTTTAAGTCCCCTTCTACGCAAGTAGTTGGTTTTTATTCATTCTTTTCAATACGCCCCAATATGAGAGAGACACATGTCGCTCTCTTATAGCAAAAAATTCTCATTAAAATTAATTTTTTAACAAAAAAAGGTTGACGTGTCAATTCCACATCAGCATACATTAGTGATGTGGACACGCCACGCCATCATTTGTGTCCACATGTGCTTGCTTAGTCAGCTGGAGGCGTTGACCGTCAGTTGACTAACGGTTTCCATCTAACGGGGGATTCTTTTGAATTAAAATAAAACGTTGTGGGATCAAATGTTTCAAAAAAACAAGAGGGATAAAATTGCATATACTGTCAAACATTAGCGGTATTTGTTTGCATTATGCCTTTTTGGTATTATATTTATTATTATATTATTTTATGTTATTTTAATTTTGTGATTAGGAATTACTGTGACAAGGATTTAGTTGAACATAAAGAAAGAACTAGAAAGTTGAAATTATGTACTACTTTTGTAATAAACAAAATAAAATTCATTAGTTTTCATTTTTTTTGTTTTGAAACATTTTGAACGTGTTTTTTACATTGCTTGCTTTTTACACTACTTAGAATGTCTCGTATGTGCTAATACTAGCCTCAATTTAAGTATCAATTTTACGCCTTTAATCTTATAAATGGCGAAAAATTTTAGATTAACTTCTCGAAAATACTCTCCGACCATGCCTATTAAGCCATGTTCGCTTCTTCTTCATGTAGAAAACCAAACTTTGGAACCATTTTGAACACGATTTTTACTCTACTTACAATGTATCGTATATGACGATATTATCATAATCGAAAGATAAGTTACAATATTAGGCCTCTAATCTTATAGATTACTAATTTGTTAGATTAACTACCCAAAAAACCCTCAAACATGCCTATCAAAACATTTTAACATTTTCTTCATACATAAAACAAACTTTGGAACCAATTTAAACGCGATTTTTAACTCGTTTACAATATCTCATATATCTCGATATTTACCTCAACTGAAAGATAAATTCTCATACTAGGCCTCTAGTCTTATAAATTACGAAAATATTGA